CTAAACATTTAGAAAGACCAAAATCTGCTATCATCATTCTATTCTCATGTACTAAAACATTCTTTGAATGCTTAAATGGTGAATCAGAGGTTAATACATAAATAAATAAAGTAAAGTAACTATTAATGAATAAGATAATTACCAGATCTCTATGTATAATATTTTTTGAATGCAAGTAGCGTAACCCTTTCGCAATATCTAAAGATATTTGTCGTTTATCTTCCCATTCAAGTGAATCCTTTTGAGCCGCCAAATATTCACGAAGATTTCCTTCATTCGCATATTGCAATACAAGCATATGTATTTTTCTTTTTGGGTCTGAAATAAATATTCTTAACAATTATGAATGAAAATATAAATTCATACTAAAAGTTACAAACCTCTTGTTACACCATAGAACTTATTAAGGTTTGGATGATTTAAAATTTTAAGCAACTTTATCTAAGAAAACATTATTTTAATTTAAAATGTCTTTAAAGAACCATTATTCGAGTTTTCTTAATTACCTCACGTAGAAATTCCTTAAAAGATATCTCATCTAGTTGCGATACATTGTCAGTCCTTAGACTTTTTAATGCAACCTTTCTTTCTAATAATTCTGACTCTGCGCACTCAACGATACCAAAACCCCCCCTTCCAACTTCCTTCACGATAGAAAATTGGCTATAATCGAAAGAGTTGATGTGACCCTCTTTTATTGCATCTTCTAACCATCCAAAATGATCGATAGGTTCTATTTTTTATTTTAATTTAAGGAATCTTGTTTATAAATAATTATTTACACAAAATATCAAATTCAACTACCTGACATATTTTGATATTTGATTCAATTCTTAACGTACTGAGACCAATAAGATGATAAAGCGATTTTATATAATACTATATACAGTATTTAAATGACGTGCATTTGTGTAACGTACATACAGCTTCAGAATTTCCGTAGATTTTCGGATTACGTACAGTATAGAAAAGAATTTTAATCTCAAATTTCAATATTTAACAATAAATTAACAATATTAAAATTTTAATATGGAATTTTGATCTCAGATTTGCATCTCGGAGCTTTTTATATCTCGAAAATTTAACAAAATAGTTGAATAACAAATAACAATAAAATAGAGAAATTAGTTAATTAATAAATAAAAATAAAAATCAAGGAATATTTAGATAATAAATAAATATAACTAATTTTTTTTATTGAAATTGGCTAATATTTCTTTAATTTCTTTTTTTAAGTCAATTATTTAAATTACTGTATATATACACCATAAAAAACATTTTCTTAAAATTTAAATTGTTGTAAGTTTTATTTTGACACAAGTAACTTTTCAAGATATGTTAATTATGCACACAGTATTTGCTTATCGAGACACTTAAACTGCTATACAGATCTATAGATGTGATCCATTAAATCTGTATACTGTATATGTAAGTTTATGTATGTACAGGGGTATCCAAAATTATTTGGAATTTTTCTCAATATGTATAACTCAGTAAAAATTATCAAAATCAAATACAAATTTAAATATAAATACACGAATATTATAAAATTACTTTTACTTATAACTAGTTTATAGATTATATTATTATTATTATTTTAAATAATTATTTTTAATTAAAAATTTTATGTTATATATTAATTTTATGATTTGATTTTCATAAAATTTAAGTTTTTTTATATGATTTTATATGATTTTTTATAATAAATAATATAAAATCAATATATTTTTTAAAACATTACATTAGAAAAAAAAAATGTAATAGTTAAGGAATATTACCAATTAATATAAAAATATTACTAATTAAAATTATTAATTAATACTAAAAGATTTATATTTAATTTTTATATATTTTTTAAATTGATATTTATTAAATAATAATACAATTTTTATTTTTCAAAAAAATTTTTCCAAAAAATTTTGGGTACCACTGTATATTATGATTGATCGAATTTTACAAAGCACAATATAGATTTTATATGTTAAAAACATTAAGTTGTAGAAGATGAATACATATAAAAAACAGCTGTACGAATATTTACGAGAACAGCCACCTTCACATATTGTCAGAGGGTAAAAATCGTAACGCGATGCCAGTCACGTGACTGATCGTCGCGATAGTGCTGCGAAGGACCCGTTCCGATCATGGTACTCAAGGTGGTATGGAGGGAAATGTAAGCAAAAGTAATGGAAAATGGTTAAAGTAGTAGTAGAATAGCGTGTTAGAGAATTAGGTAATGAAAAGAGAATTGTGAAAACGATTAGATAATATGAAATAATTGTGATGGAACATTATGTAATTAGGGAGAATCGTGAGAAGACATTAGATAATCGATGTTACCTTTACTTTTCAAAAAAAATGTAAAAACCGTCACAACTAAGATGTATAAAAAGAGAGAAGTAAAAAGTAATTAAAGGACACTGATTGATTGATTTATCTTTTACTCGACCAAATCGTACACGCCTCAAATTTTCGCTAAGACCCCTTACCTCATCGACGGTTACGCGACGTTCTGCCCAATTTAGCGACAGACTCGCCGATTGACCGTCACACTATAATTAGTAATGAACCTCTGTACAAATTCTGGAAAATTAACGTAATGTTTAACAATTATTGTTTATACATCGGAAGAAAAACTTTTTTTAAAATATCTTCGACCTCTTCAATTTTCCCAAATGATTATTTAAATTCAAACAAGTAACGAGTTTTTAATTATTTGTAGAATTAATAATATAATAGAAAACAGTAAAAATAAAAAATTCGACTTGATCTCACTAATTTAAATTAAACTTATATAAAATCAAATTTAACTCTGCAATTCGTTACAAATAATTTATTGTTTCCGGTTATATTATGTTTAAATAATAAATTAAGTTATATTTATACACTTTTATGAACCGAAGTGCTTTCTAAAATAGTTATTAAATAAGTTAAGGCAATTAATTCTAATTAAAGAAAATCAATTTCAAACATATCTAAAAAATTATATAACCTAAGTCCGCGTAAGCTTGTGTCTGTTAAATAAAGTTTTAAAATAAAAATCCATTAAACTTGAAAATGCGATGAACGTTATACTATCGACAGCATACAACATTTCAAGTACTTGCTCGTAATTAGGGGCGTTAGTTGGTTGTGATAAATTTGAGAAATTCAAAAGTCTGCTAGTGTAAATAGCATTTGGGTGCGTTTTATAATTAAGTTCCGAGGATTTACTAGTTAGTGGTTCTTTTGAATCTTCACTTTCGTAATCTTTAACTTGTTCCTTAAAATCCAAAGGTTCATCACCTTCAATCAATTTAGTCAATTTGAGTATATTTCTCCATAACTTAACAGCATAGTGTCTTTGAGATGGCCTCGCATCCCAACATTTCATTATAAATCTAGCTTAAAGTTTAATTTGTTTTGAATGGAATTTTTGGACGTAATCCTTGACAGATTTGTACAGCAAAATCTTGATCATTATAGTATGGAGGAAATCCTGTAATCATTCCATATGCTACGATTCCAAATGAATAAATATCTGCTGCCGGTGTGTAAACATGACCACACAGGACTTCAGGTGCAACGTACGAAGAACCCCATAAATTTCTTTGCGAGTTGAATTTTCTTGTGTTTTATCAAATAATTTGCAAAGACCTAGATCCGCAATATTCAGTATTAGGGAACGACTTTACAAAAGATTCCAGGATGAAAGTCTCTATGAACTAATTTCTTCGGGTGCATATTACTTAAACCAATTGCAATACGACACAATGAATTCATTTTTAATTTTAAATCCATCTTGTAAAAATTTTCGTCCAAGTAATTCCCGAGAATGTCATTTTCTTGAAACTTTAAAACCATCATATAGCATAGTGAACATGGTTGTTGCGTAATTCCGTAACAAACAACACACCAGGAATTCCATAGAATGAAATGCTTCTCAATAGAAAATTTAAAATAAATTCATTAATAATAAAACATAGTTAAACGAGGTTTAATATTCTTTACCTCATTTATAAGATCGTTAATTGAGCTAAGTTTATCTAAGCCTTTTAATGCTACTTACTTATTAGGACTTCTAACCCATTTCTTGTTAAAAACATCCCATTTTTTAATAGCCCCATCCTTACATGTCGCGGAACACACGGTACCATATCCTCCTTTAGCGATATATTTTACATCTTGAAATTGTGTATACGGTATCCATTCTAATACTCCATTACCATACAAAGATTGAAGTTGTGACTTTTGTATAAGTTCGTCAACTTTTTTATTTCCACTTGTTCATTCTCCAAACTCTTGTCGAAAATGAATCCCATTGCATGGCATGCACTATTCGTTTCCTGAAAATTTCTGATTGCATTCGGGACAAGACATATTGATCTCTAAATTTGAAATTTCCTACTACGTAAATGTTATATGTATTGCATAACGTTACACGGACACTTTTAGGTCAAGTATTTTATTTCTTCCTGTATATTTCAAATAATATAAAATGCATGTGCTATTTACGGTCAACTCTCGATAAAAAATCGCGTACAAATAGTATATATACTGTATGTTGATGATCGAAGCATTTATTGAAAGTAGTTACTATCATCAAAAAATTTCAGGGTTCCGGCTTGCTTGATAAAAGAAAATCTGATACACGAGAGGTTTGTTTTCTATATGCAGTCAATTTATATGCTGACTTAGCAGGCATTAGGATTGTGATACCAAGAAGGTGATTAGGTATCCATTTTTGATTAGTAGGTTTGGTGATGGCTTCCCATTATACCTGGCATCTTTTCTGCAAAAAATTGTTGAAGTCTCATTTCAATTCAGTAAAAAGCCTCAAAAAAATCTGAAAATTTTTTAAGCATAAAAGCTACTGCATATTAAAACTTTTATTTATTAAGCATATATATCCTTTTGTATTAAATATGTATAATTTATACAATTAAATCTATATTCAAAAAAGTTTTGTTAATTTTAATAACATTTTATCATTGATATTTATGGTTTATCTTTCATGAAATAATTTTTTTAATTTTAATTTTAATATTTATACTAATATTTTAACAAATAGTTTATAATTAATAAAATTTTGTTATTATGTTTTAAATTATTTGTATATTGAATTTTATAAATTTATATTAAATATTTAAAAAAATTATTTAATAAATAAAATTGTTACTATCAAAAAATTTTATCTTAATAATTTTTTTATTAATTTATATTTATTATTTCTTATAAAAGTTCTTATTTTTTATGTAAATTGACTTCAATGGATTAAGTAAACATATTTGTTATAATAAACTTTATCTATAATAAAATATTTTTTTAATTTTAATAAAGTTATTATATCATATCATGTAATTTTAAATAAATATAAATTATTAAATTAAATTATAAAATTTTATTGAATACAAAATTTATTATTGAAAATATATGTATTCAATTAATTAAAATTAATTTATATAGTAAAATTAAATACTTTATATGAAAATATTAGCACAAATCCATTTAAAATATATTTATTTTTAAATACAAACAGATATTATTTAATCAAGTAACTCTTTTCTACTTATATACAGTTATCAAACAAGAAAATTTAATGAAGTATAGATATAACTTCTTAAAAAAAACTAAGTTTCAACTCAAACACAAGATCTAATTAAAATATTTAAAGACAGAAATAACTAAAAGGTCAAAGAAACTATTCTATACTCAAGTTAGAGATTATCAAAAAATTAACAAATAAAGATTTAAAACTTTAAAAACTACTGTAACAACATTAACAATAAAAAAAAGAAAACAAAAACAAATGCTTGAAACAAAAATAAAAAA